GAATCCGCGCTGTTTACGCAACATTTTTTGGTCCTTCGAGCCGGATACCGGTGTGTATTGGTGTTATCGAAGAAGAATTCTGAGCCACTACATCACTGGGTCCAACAACACAAGGCAGCAGCCTAGGACAACAGGGTTGCTCCAGATCATCGTCAGGCCACGAGATTCAACGAGCACAAGAGGACTACCACAAGGCAACGGCATTTTGGGACTTCTCAGCGAAGAATCTCATCCACCGGCTGCGAACGAGTCCACAACGTGTTCAGCAACGTAATTCGTGAGTCAGACATATTCAATTAACTCGTCAATTTCCATATTTTTCCATTCTTCCTCCGACATCACAATGGCCCTAGAATCGAATACGCAAAATCTCCGCGAACTCATTCGAAAACGCGCGACAATTAAGTCTAAATTAACGTCCTTCGCGAAATTCTTAGATACATGTCGCGAATTAGACACAATTCCGCTTAGTGAATTAAAGCTTCGTACTGCGCGTCTCGAGAAAGAATTCGACACATTTGATACGATTCAAAGTGCGTTAGAATCGGCAGCTTCTGACGACGAATACGAGATTCGACTAAACGAACGTACCGATTTCGAGGATCACTATTACGGGATCTCAGCCGTCGCGAAAGACATAATCGAAAAACACGACAAAAGCAATAATCAAATAGACGGTTTGCCGCAAGCCCTACAACCTTCTGGTTCGACTGAGGCAGCCAACTTGCAATCGCCGCTGACAATTTTATCAGAATCACAAATTAAGCTACCGACAATGCATTTACCAAAGTTCAGCGGAACATATGAAGCATGGCCCGGCTTCGCGGACGCGTTTAGATCAGCTGTCCACGAAAATCCAAGCTTCCGCGACGCGCAAAAACTCATTTACCTAAAATCTTGCTTAACGGGAAAAGCGGCGGAAAAGGTCGAATCGTTGGAGACCACCGCAGCAAATTATTCAGTAGCGTGGGATATCTTAGACAAATACTACAATGATCCGAGCGTAGTCATTAATAACCGCGTCCAAGCATTTTTTGATTTGCCGTCATGTTCGCGATATAATCCCACTGCTTTGGGTGAATTAACTGACACGGCCATGAAGCACTATAATGCGCTGAAGGCACTCAACAAGCCGTTTTTAGAAGCTTTCCCCATTTATGCAATTACAAGTAAATTAGACGATCAAACGCGATTACGGTGGAAGGAAAAAACACAGGGAACCGATCTTCCGACGATGGAAGAATTACTAGAATTTCTGCATAACAGGCGTAGGGTTTTAGAAACTACTAGGGTAGAACCCGCGAAACAACTAACAACACGAATTAATAACACGACTCCAACAACACGAATTAACAACATGACTCCAACAACACGTACACGACCAGGTCCCGTTACTAGAAATCGAGGATCACCAAACAATATCGTACCAGCTCACGCGTATCCTGTACAACAAGCGCGTTGTTATCTATGTAAGGCAAATCATTTTACACAGTATTGCCAGAAACTAACAGCCGCGAACGTGGACGAACGAACGACAATGATTCGAAAAGCTGGCTTATGCATCAATTGCTTAAGACCAAACCACGAAATCAAAGACTGTATTGCTGGATGCTGCAAGCAGTGCAATGGAAAGCATCATACACTGCTGCACAAAGAGCAAAAACCGGTACAAGCGAATGTATCGGCGTTAAGCGCGAATTGTCTAAGCGAGACAATTTTATCTACCGCAATCGTCTATGTCCGCGACAATTACAATCGACCACAGCCCTGTCGAGTTCTCTTGGACTCAGGGTCTCAATCTCACTTTATAACAGAAAAATTTGCCAATAGACTCTCGTTACCCTTAAATAAAATAGACATTCC